GCTCTGGCCCCGGGCACCCCATGGCCAGGAGATAAATCCTGCCGGGTGCTGACCTGTTACATCCCCGGGCAGGCGGCCAGGCGCCGGGTGCCAGCGCTGCCAGAGGTGCTAATGAGGCCGAAAATTAAGTGTTGGGCCAGGAGGCATCTCTCTACCACGCTGGCCACCGAGCCAGGACACTGGTGACGGCACCAGCCCGGCAAACCCTCCCGCATCCCCAGTGGGGCCGGCGAGCTGAAAACGAGAAGCGAGGAAAAAAAAAACCACTCAGAACACCAGTTTTCTTTACAAAATACACAAAATTCAAATCCGTGACATTTACATACAAAAGAAGGAAGATATAAAATGTGCGGAATTGTCCTGTTTGCACCCGTATAGAAAAGTGTCCCGTGCTGGGGCAGGCGCTGGCTCGCGAGGCCGCCAGCCCCCGCAGCGTGTCCCCCCCTATCCCGAGTCCCGTCGCCGGACATCCTGCGCCCGCGGCGTTTCTCCTGCGCCGGCAACGTCGCTGTGGCTACTGGGGCGCTGCCAGGAGGAGAGGATGGAGGGGTTGAGCGGGGTCCAGGCCCCCAAAGGTCCCCCAAAGCTCCTCCAAAGCTTGAGGGTCCTGGGGAAGTGGGCTTGGCTGTGCCACCCCTCTTACCCATCACTGCCCTCTCGGGCGCCTCATCCTCCTCTGCTTCTTCTTCCTCCCCATCAAAGTACTCCTCGTCTTCCTCGGCTGCAAAGAGGCAGCCAAAACATCACCGTGGTGCCACCGGGAAAGACGGCGGGTGCCACCAGGTGGGTGGGAGTTGGTAAAGGGGCACTGGGGGGTTCGGGGGCTGAATTACCGGGGTTGAAGTCCAAGGCGCGGACTGCCTCGGCGAGGTGGTCCAGGCTCACTGAGAAGGCGTCCATGCTCTCGTAGCCGTGCTCGATCTTCTCCAGCCTGCCACCCTTGGAGGCTTCCACAATCCTGGGCACAGAGAGAGCATGGCCGTGTGTCCCCCTGTCCCCTCACCAGGCTGGGGGACCGTGGGGTGCTGGCGTGGGGGGGTTGGGCATCCCCACGCTCACCGCCTGGGCACCCCATGGCCATCTGCAGGGCAAGGGCTGGGAATCACCAAATTTTCCGCAATTTGGGCACTTACGTTTTAATGAGCTGCTTGGCGTTCTGCGGGGAGGAAGAGGAGAGGTGAGTGAAGTCACACGGTAGCCACTGAGATGTCCCCAAACTCGTGGGACACTATAAAAGCACCAGCAGGAAGGGGGGGGGAGGGAGATTTGGGGGTCTCACCATGAGGAAGGCAGCCCCCCCGGTCTCCTCCATGGCCTGGATGGCCGTCTCCACCAGCCGACTTGACTTCTCCAGCTGCTCCTTGTACCGGCGGATGAGGCCCTGGACGAAGCCCGTCTTGTCGCCCTGCTCATGGGCGATGCGCTGCAGCAGCTCCGACTTCTTCTCCTCCAGCAGCGCTGCCAAGGCGTCGAAGCGAGCGCACAGCTCCCGCTTGGCCGCCTCGCTGTTCTCCTGCAGGGACGAGGGGCAAGGGATGCCACATGTGTCTATGTCCCCCGGTACCAGCAGCATCCCTGCTCCGTGGGCTCCAGCTCCCTCCCGGCCATCCCAAATGTCCCCCTGGCTGAGGTTTCACCCCACCCTGGGTTTTGGTGGGCTGCTTTTCCCCCTGTCCTCACCTCGGTGCTCCGGCACGAGTCTTCCAGCTGGGAGATGATGGTCTGGATCCGGTCGTTCCCCGCCACCAGCATGGAGATGCAGTTGTTCAGTTCGGTCTGGGCAGGGGTGGATGGATAGAAACAGTTTGAACCCAAACAGGGGACACAGGGACATCTCCCATCCTGACATGGGGACGGGCTGGGCATTGACCGGCCCCAGCTCTGCTCCCCCCACATCCCCCTGAGCCGCGGCCACTCTAAATATAGGCTGTCTCCTGGGCGAAGTCACCCGGGGGCTATAAATACCCTGTGAGCGGGTCTCTGCGCTATTTGTGGCCGTCCCAGCTCAGCACATCACCCCGAGACCGGCCGTGTCCCCTGCAGCCCCCCCGTTCCCCCCGTATGGCACCTTCTGGCCCTGGAAGATGGTTTGCAGGGGGGCGACTTCGCAGTCCTTGTGGGCACCGAAGACTTTGCACATGGAGCAGGTGGGGACCTCGCAGGTGACGCAGTAGATGTTGATCCGCTCGTCCTCGTGCTCCTTGCACATGGGGTGCTCCCCCTTCTTCAGGGGCCTGCTGGAGAGAGCGGCGCGGCCGCGGTGACATCCCCGTCAGGGTGACATCCCCACCGAGGTGACGTCCCCATTGCAGTGACATCCCTGCCGTGATGATGTCCCCATTGCAGCATCATCCCCACTGCGGTGACATCCCCACTGATGCTGCACAGCCACCCCAAAATCAGGTCCCCAGAGAAGAGGGCAGATCTTGGCATCGCCCCACACTTGCTCCTTCGGGAGCCATGAACCTCTACCCCCCCTCTAAGCCCCAAGCCCAGTAAGCACCAGTTTAAACCAGTGCAGCACTGAGCACGGCAGGTGGGTGGGTGGCCCCGGGGCCACGCTCCAGGGACGCTGCACAAGCGCCTAAATTTAGCCTCGGGCTGCCGGGATTTATTGTTGTCACCCAACGCGTGACCAGGATGGGGGTCTCAGCCAGGGGCTGCA